AGTTCAGCTCCACATGAAGTAGCCCGTCCTATCTGCTGATAAGAGCGCCGCTGCCACTGGAGCGCGTTGCTGTGCTGTACAGTCTGTGGCAGGCCGAGCGGGCCCGAGCATGGGCCGAGCCACGCAGCCATCGGTGAGCTCGATCGAGTGGCTCTGATACCGGGGGCCTGCCTGCGCACGATGCGATGTACACACGGACAAAAAGATTAGGCGCTCAAAATATCGCGTTGTTGGAGTTGGTTATTTGGAGCTAACTAACATAATTCGTAGCGCGAACGTGAAAATGAGCTCCAGTTGCGAAGCGTTCGTGGGCGTAACGACCATTTCGTTGTAAATCAGGAAAAAGATCGTTGGGGAAGCGTTGTTGAACAGAAGGCCGTTTGGTGGATCCAATCATCACCTTTCGCTGTTCTAGTTCTTATTTGCAACTCCCACAACAAATGTTTCCGTCCCCACAACGCGCTAGTGTTGGTTGTTCCTATCCCATGTCAACCAACGAATCCGTGCTTTGCATTATTAAATAATACATAGAGTAGCAGAAGTTGGGCTGCCTCTAACCGACCCGTCCGTGATTTGGAGAGGGGGGGGGGCTATCCCTTCCACGGCCACACTGACCCGCATGTCCGTCCGCAGCCATATGTCCCCGATGTCCCCGCGGTCATGAGGCCATATGAGAGGCGGGCGTCGGCGGCGACCGTCAAGTGGGCGTATGGGGGGGGGGGGGCGAGGGCGAGCACTGACTTGCTGGCTGGGCTCCGGGCTGCTTTCAAAGTCTGTGAAAGAACTCTACATCATATCGGCTCAAAATTTTATCTTCTATTTTCGCCGCCTCGGCATATGAAGTGGCTGCGCCGGCTGCGCTGGCGGGGCAAGGCCATCCGCCGTGCCGCCTAGTAGGGCACCTCTGCATGGGCGGGTCCGGGCCCCGGAGGAGCGGCCGGCGACGGCCAACGCGCGCCGGGTTGTCCTATCCACTGGGCCTGTGGCCGCGCTGGGCCAGGCTGCACTGGACCGCGGCGCGGGAGCGGGTCCCGGGCGCGGCGCTGCCCCCGCTGCCCCCGCTACCCCCGCTGCCCCCCTCCGGGCCGGAGCGGAGCGGGCTGTTGCATCACCAGTCGGGCATAACGACACGGGTGGCAGTGGCAGACTGGATAGGCAGGCGCCGCCCGCCCGGTCAGGCCCGGGCTCCCGCGGCGGGACGGGACGGGACTACACCGCCAAATACAGTATGCATCAGCATCGGAACCTTGGTCAAAAAATATCCTAAACTTTTACCTGCGATAGCGGTTGACTTTTGTCCTTACATTATTGTGGAGGAACAATCTTTGAATTTGAAACTGCACGCACATATACAACGTGCATTTTGGGGATTTCCTTGCGTTGAGGAACAGTTAACTTTGAAACTGCAATCACTTAATCAGCAACGAGGAAGTAAACGGGCACGAAGTAAAAAGCGAGGATTGGATTGGAGCGAACATTAAAATAATCACATCGAATGACGTCGGCCGGAGCACTCACTTCTCTCCCCGTCAGGCGCCTGTGAGGGTAGGCAACGTTCGAAGGTGTGACACGCGGGTGCAAGCTTGTTGCCCACCTCCCAGGCGACCCCCCTTCCCACTCTCGTGCCGAGTGGCCGCAGGCAGACTGCGTGTCTGCAACCATGCCTGACCGTGTTTTCTTTTCATGCTTGCAGGGTCGCTCACCGTCACCAGCGAACGCCACCGACCCCGCCCACCTCCCCGCCGCCGCCACCACCACCATGGACGTGATCACCACGATCACGATGAACCCCGTGCTGGCCGGCGTCGAGCCGGACTCCAAGCAGACCCTGGAGGTGGCCGTCGACGACGCCGCCCCGCGCCCGCTCACGCCCGTGATGCCGCGGCGCGGGCTGTCCCACCTGCCCGAGCGGCCGCCCGTCGACATCGAGTTCACCGACCTGACCTACACCGTGCCGCAGGGGCGCAAAGGTAAGCGAAGCAACGCCAAGTCGACGCGCAGCGGCGAGCGAGGGTATTATACGCGGCTACGCTACCGGGGGTCGATCACCTGAATAGATTAGTCCTTGGTAGAGAGAAGAACGGTGTAGTGTCCAGTGTGCGGTGCGGTTGGGTGCGGTGTGCGGTGGCAGCTGCTACTCAGGGATAGGAAAGTTACTTTTAAAAATGTAACTAGTTACAGTTGCAGTTAGTTTTGCCAAAAATGTAACTAGTTTCAGTTACAGTTACTTTTTCTTAAAGATTGCCGTTACAGTTACAGTTACATTTTTTTCGCCAAAAAATGTAACTAGTTACAGTTATCCCGGTAGGTTTTGAGTTAAATTGGTCGTTGTTTTCTATTAATTATTTTGTAATGGAAAAATTGTTTGCAAGGTAGGCGATTACGCATTATTTAAAGTCCGCAAAACTCTGCTTTCCTCGTCGTCTAGCGAGGGTCAGAAGGGGCTAGCGGTGGACGGGTGCGGGTGGGTAGGGGTAAGGGGAAGGATAGGGGGCATCCTTGTTTTTGTGCAGCAGGTACAGAGTGTTGCGACTATTGCCGGACAAGCGGGCGGCTAACCCAAGGTCGCCAAGGCCGGGCGAATGTGAACCGTGACAAATGCGGCAGAGCATCTCGAAGACCGCTCTGTTGAAACGGATATACGTATAATTGACCGTCTTTCCAGCTCCTTTTCCTTCATTCCTCTGAATGCCGCGCTAGCCGCAGACTCCAGATAGCACATTGCAACAGAATGTGGATAAACAGGAAAGAAATCTCATACTTTTGAAAAGTTCTACTGGGCAAAAATAACTGTAACTGATATTAGTTACAGTTACAGAAAAAAATGTAACTAGTTACAGCTACAGTTATTTAGTTTGAAAATGGAACTAGTTACAGTTTCAGTTGCTGCATATTGTAACTAGTTACAGTTACAGAAACTAGTTTAGTTAAATGTTTCCCATCCCTGCTGCTACTACAGCTGTCTCTGCACCTTGCTGCTGCAGCTGGTGGCAGCTGGCACGCCCCGCAGTCCACCATACAGCCCCTCCCGCTACCGTATATAGGCCGTTTTGGAAATGGAAATGGACGCAGGTGCAGTACGATTAGGTGGGATTCGATTCGGTTTCGCCACCCGAGCTGCCGCCACGCCACACGTCGTATATGCGGGTAGTGATTGAAGTGGTTGCCTTTCGAGGCACACGGTCGCGAGCGAGCAAAACTGTAGAGGGGGCCGAAAGTAAATTTCTGCGAAACTCTGTGAAAGAGCTGGTGGCGCGTGGCGTGGTCCGAGTGGGAGGACGAAAGTGCAGACGAGGGGTCCAGGCGAGAGTCTTTCCAAACGAGCTGCGGCGGCAGGGCCGCTGCTCTTCCGGGTGTCCGACCGGTACCCGGTGCAGGGGTACCCAGCGGGGGACCCGGAGCGCGCGCGTCCCCGTGACCCGCTTCGAGTAGTGTAACACCTTTTAAACTGCAAACAAACGGCAGGGGCAATATTTGAGTTACGCGCCTCCGCCACCGCCACCGCCGCCTTTATAGCTGGACGGGGAAGAACCAACAAGGATTAAACGGAGCTGACAGTTTGCCGTGGGAAAACATGCTCTCTCTCCCTCCCTCCCCCCCTCCTCCCCTCTCTCCCCTCTCAACATGCTCTCTCTCCCTCCCTCCATCTCTCTCCCTCTCTCTCCCTCGCTCTTTCTCTCCCTCTCTCCCTCTCTCTGCAAGGAGCCCTGAGCGGAGAGCGCCGGTGAGTTAGGCAACCATCGTGCACCGGTGTGCCACTCGCATGATCGTTGCCTACCCCGCGGGCGTCCGACAAGGAGAGATTTGACTTCCCTCCTCCTCCTTCTCCTCTTCCTTCCTCGCTGCCCGAAGTGCCAAAGTCACCGCCACGCTCGAAGTCTCGCAATAACACTACTTTCGGCACCACTATATTGACGACGGTCCCGTTATCAGAGCCATTAGTGAGCAATCCCAAGAAGAACAATTTGGTGTAACTGTTTATCACTCTTTCGCCTCCCTCCCCTCCCGCGCCGCTGCTGGCCCCGTAGTATATCGCCGCGAGTCGAACACATTTCGCAGCTTCACTTCTCCTCATTGTGCGTCAGCAGCGTGAGTAGAAACGCGCCGCAACGCGTGTCTTCTTCACTGCCAAAACACGCCTGGTAACCGCCCTCCCCCCCCTCCTCCTTGCATCGTGCGCCCGAACGGCCCGATCGCCCCCGCGGTCGTGGGCCGCGCCGCGTTCGACATCGCCTGTCGCGTGCCAAAGCCAAAGGCCGACGCCGACACACATTGCACTCTTGCGGTCAAATGAAACTACGCTCTTAGAAAACCGTGTGATCGCGCATTTTATTCTTCTTCTTCATTATTGTTTGCATTATTGTAATATGACCGTAAGAAGAGTGTTCCATTGCATAATTTTGCGTTTATTCCGTTCTTTGTAAAATTAAATAACAAATTTAAAGTTTTATCGCCGTCACATTGTCTTTTCCTGTCACTTGTAATTGTGGAGCCTAGCAGGTGCCAAGTGTCGCGGACGTGCAACTGCATAAAGTCCTTTTTCCTCCTATCTTAACTCGGCATACGCGCGCGCCGCAAAGAGGCAAGCTTGTGAAAGCCTTCACCGCCATGAGGGTGAAATCATTTTCCGGTTGCTTGGCGTGGCGTGGCGGGGCGGCTAGGCTGCGGCAAGGCTCTTCTTTGTGAGGCCGCAAACAATATCTATCCTTCTATCCGTCCCACTCCCTGTCGCGCGCGCGGCTCCGAGATCTACGGCGGCGCCGGCAACAGAGTTGCAGAGAAGTTTAGGGAGAGGGGAGGGAAGGGGAGGGGGAGGGTGGACCGCCATGGTGCCAAAGCAAACCGCGCGGGCGCTGCAACTTTAACAAGCGGCGCCAGGGGCTGCCTCTCCCGTCATAACCTAGGCCGGTAATCAGCACTGCCAATAGGGTTTACATCTAATTTCAGCTTTTGACGCGCGAAACACACACACACAGTTCATGCAAGTGATTCACAGGATCGCTCACGACACGTCGGCCGACCCATTAGCTAGCGCGGCAGCGGCCGCTTAGTGTCTCTCTCACTCGCGAAGTGTTGTGACCGCACCGCAGCACCTCATTTCCTCCTCCCTCTTCTTCTCCGCCTCCTAACTTTGTTCGTCTACGAGTCGTTTTCCGTCCCATCAAAACAAAACAAAAAAAGTTGCCGCCATCATAATTATACTCCACACCGAGCAAATCGCGCACACCAAACGCGAAAGAAAAAGAGGACGGAGTGGTGTTTGTGCGTTGTGCTTGTGGTGCTCGCGTGTTGGCAGCACTGACTGCCTGTCAGCACCTCCATCTCCAAACCCGAGCCATCGCGACACCGCACTGATCGTAAATCAAAAAAGCCAGTTTCTCATGTTTGTTGTGTTTCTTTCGAGACTTTGTGAAGAGGAGTACCATGTGCTGCGGTTCATTTTTCTGCAATCGTTTTAGTTCATTTCTTAGTCATTTACCTGTGTGGCTCCCGCGTCTAGGCGGGCCTCGCCCACGCTCCCTTGCCCCTTCACCGGTGCCCCCCGCACGGTAACGCAGCCGGCCTATTGTTTTGTCTAATACGATTAGCATAGTGCTTTGTGGCTGTTTTTCGGCCTCCTTCCCCTCCCCTCCCCTCCTC